ACTGTGCTTTTGTGAAGCATTTTGACTTTTTTTTCCCTACCAAACTATGAAGCTAGTAGTAGTTGAGTATATAGTATGTTGAGCAAAATTAACTTGCCATCCATTCTCACCCCAACAGGAATTGGGCTGTGTGAGTGTGCAGATTGTGTCTGGTCAGACTGGGGCTCAGTCAGCTGTGGAAGTGAGGCATGTCAAAGGTTCATTCAACACTTGGTGAATATTTACTGAGCATCTCGTAGGTGCCCATCTCTTTAGTAGGCACTGGAATGTATTCAGTAGTAGCAAACAAAATTCCCTGCTCATGTAAAGCTTACATTTTAATAGACGACACAAAGACCAAAAGTGCTAAGGAGATAAAGCAGGAAAAGGTAGATAAGGACTGCCAGGTATGGGACGACTTCAGCCTGAAGTTGAGATGGGAATTTTAATTAGTTGTGAATTTCTGAATTTTTCTTCTCTACCCTTGACCCTTATATATATTTTTAGGAAGGAGAAGTATATGCCATTGAAACCTTTGGTAGCACAGGAAAAGGCGTGGTTCATGATGATATGGAATGTTCACATTACATGAAAAATTTTGATGTTGGACACGTGCCAATACGGTGAGAGACTATAGTTTTTATATGACTGACGAGTTTCTCTTCCCAGTTAACAGCATTTTAAAAAGTGTGACAGACATCCACAGTGGCACATTCATAAATGCAGAGTTCTATGGCCTAAAAATAAGTTCTGTGGATTTCTATAATTCAGCAGAAAAATTGTCCTGTTAAAAATTTTAACCGAGATGAGAATGATGTAAGTATTCTCTTCTTATCCAGTTTCCAACAGGCGTAATAATTTCAGAGATTATCATTTTGCTGGCATTCCTAGGTTTTTGTTCTTCGTATTTTCCCATTGGTAAACTTTATATTTTTATTTACTTTTTTTTTTTTTTTACTTTTCGGAGATGGTTGAAGTGTCTACTTTTTGTTCAGGTCTTTCAGCTTACTGCCGAAATTTCCCCCAAAAGGGAAATTCCCACCTTCATACTATTGATGAGTCTGTACTTGGAATTTAACACACACATGCATAGACACATAAATATAAGGTAGCCTTCATCTGGTCTCCTATTCATCTGCCATCTATAATTGGGTATTATACATTCTGGTTTTTGAATATTGAAAGAGGCAGCAAAAAAGAGCTTTTTGAACTTTAATTACTAAGTGAAGTCATAGCTTTGGTTTGAGTTTTCCTTAATGAGGGAAATGAGTTGCTAACTTTTTAGCCAAGTATTAATCTTGGATTTTCTTGTCTTAGGCTTCCAAGAACAAAACACTTGTTAAATGTCATCAATGAAAACTTTGGCACCCTTGCCTTCTGCCGCAGATGGCTGGATCGTTTGGGAGAAAGTAAATACTTGATGGCTCTGAAGAATCTGTGTGACTTGGGTATTGTAGATCCATATCCACCATTATGTGACATTAAAGGATCATATACAGCACAGTTTGAACATACCATACTTTTGCGTCCAACATGTAAAGAAGTTGTCAGCAGAGGAGATGACTATTAAACTTAGTCCAGAGCCACCGCAACACCTTTTATTTTCTAAGTTTTGTTGGAATACCTTATACCAGAATTAATTTGCAACCTGTTGTCTGTTTAACAGTGGACCTATATAATACTTTTATCCGTGTTTAAAAAGGAAGGAATTTGATCAAAGGCAAACCATTTAATGTACTTAACAAGAAAAAAGCTTTCAGGACTTTGAAATGTTAACTGTTTTCCTTCTGTCTAGGAAATGCTATAAAGCTCCAATTAATTAGGAATGACCTAATACATTTTGTTTCAAACACCTAAGAGATGCTTTTCAGATATTTATATTGCCATATTCTTAATTGAATGCTTTGAATGACTACATCCAGTTCTGCACCTATACCCTCTGGTATTGCTTTTTAACCTTCCTGGAATCCATTTTCTAAAAAATAAAGACATTTTCAGATCTGAGAGCTATATTTCAATGTCTGTGGTTATAATTCTGTACAGGAAATAGTTTAGCTTAATGTAGGAAAATGTAGAGCCTTTTATCTGGATTGTAGACCTCCACACTGAAACTTTTCTTCTGACATAGTGGCTAAAACAAGATCTATACATGCATAAAGTGGGAGGAGAATCTTCATAAATTAATATACAACTTTAGGCATATTTTACCTTTAGTTTCTTTTTAGGACCTTATTAGTCCTCGTCTCTCATTTTTCTCCTGACATTGGAAAGATCTAATTAAAACATATTAGTAGGAACATTGTACCAACTTAAAACCTTGATTTACTAAAATCTCCAGTGGTAGTTATTTATTGAGAAATGTATTCAGCTTAGTAAGTGAAAAGGGCGCTTAAAACCACACAAATAAAGAAAAACAGGAGTACTTCCCATGTTTGGATCTTGTTCTAGTTAATTTTTAGGCTTTTTCATTAGTGAACCAAATTCTCTTAACACCCTGCCCCTGTACTGGCTTGAATTTATAACATCATGGGCAGTATTTCAGGAAGTGAGGTTACAGTGATGCTCATAGCAGCTAAGTGCAGAAGTTAAATGTAAGATGCCTAATACTTGTTTGAACTGAGCCCCACAGTTCTTGAGCAGATTGCTTGAATTCCGTGTAAATGATTCGTTGGGAATGTTCCCACGTAATTTCAAAATTGTTATGTACCAGGGTAAAGCCTTAATTTGTATATGCTTTAGCTCAATTAAGATTGCCTCTGGGATGCTGTTTAGTTTGTATTTTGTTTAACATTTTTCTCCTAAGAAACCTGACTTCTGTACTAAATCATTTATTATACATTAAAAAGTTGTTCTTTCAGATTAGAGTTATGTTATCTTGTGGGATAAACAGTATAGTTTTTAGCTATATGAGCCATGTTTATTATGGTGCTAATGTTCAATAGCTACCTTTGATTAATCTCTCCATTTCCTCTGATGATGTGCAAGTGGCAGAGCTCACCAGTTCACGCCTGGACATGTTACAGGGCTTGCGCCCTCCAGCTAGCTCTTTTGGGGTTTTGAGTCCATACCTTTCTGATGTGCTTTGGTGGGTGGTATAAAGTATCTTGATTTCTAAACCCAAGAACTTTCGAATTGAGTCAAGAATTTGTAGCTTTGTAAAACCTCTTTAGCAGTAGTGATCTCAAACCAATTATAAGCTTGAAGCTCCCTTCCCAAGTGGGGAGCAGTGGCATCACTGCATGCCCCGGAATGGCAAGGGATATGATCTTGTAAATAGGAAAGCTGTTACTTAAAAATTGTATTGTTCACCTGCTAGCCATGTATCTCTTGAAATCATTTTGTCATGTTTACAATGATGTACCTTATTGGTAACAAATTATTAGCTTGATGTTTAACAATAGTGCCTTTAGTAAATTATTTTACAACCAAAACACGTTGTTTTTTGTTAGATCAACTTAGCAGAATGTATAAGTCCACAATGAGATGTACTGTAAGAAATCCAAGTTTCTGTTCATTGACTAGGTTTTAGTTTTGTTATTTTAATAGCCTTCATTTTTTTAGATCAGTTTTAGGTTCATAGCAAAACTGAGCATAAAGTACAGAGTTCCCATGTACTCCCCCCTTCCTCGACTTCAGAAACACAGAGCCTCCCCCATAGGTTTTAGTTTTAAGGATTTAAAAAGTAAAGGGCTAAGTCACTTATTACTTTCTCATATGTATTTACATTGAAGTAAGTACTAAAACAAGCAACTATACCATTGTAAACAACATAGCTTCCAGAGTTGTTTTTAACTGTTCCACTAAAATTAGGTACTAAAAGGTGTAGCAGTTTAAGTATAAAGTAATCCTTGACATTAAGAAACGCTAGACTCAGGTATCTTGACCACAGTAAACTCTTTAATGAGGTATAATAATGTTAACAGTTGAGGTAACAACTTGCATAGGTATTTAATAGATGAATGATTTTAAACCTTAGCCATTTAATACTCGAGCTGTAGTTTTGGCATGAATGATTTGTTCAGTGATAAATTCTCATAGCACTTCATGATCAGCTGCCTCAAGTGATTTCAACCTGCAAGCAAAACCCACTTGAGAAAAAAGATAAATGATCTTCCAGTGGTTAACACTTAGCTAACATATTACATAGCTCTTCTATAGAGGTTAGTGGATTCTCATCTTTCTGAATAAAATTAAATTAGCAGCTGTAGGACTTTAAAGAGATCTAATAAGGTTGTTAGGGAAGAGCAAAGAGTATTACATAATAAAACGCAAGTGTAATTTTTTTTAATTTTAAAAAAGTCAGGGCCCAGTATTCGAATATCTAAGAGGCTCTTACTATTCACATAATCCTAGCAAGAGTAACTTAATCCGGGCTTTAGTTATTTAGAAAAATGAGATACTGAGTATTTTGCCCAGATGCCAATATCTTGTGTGCCCTATGCAATTTTTTCTCCTCGACTTATTTTTATCCCTTTAAACTAAAAATTTCAAGATACAATATAGTACAAAGCTTTAAGAGATCTAATGTTAAATATATAAAATGAACTCATATCCAAGTTGAACTGTACTTGTATTATATCGTAATATACTGTTTGCTACATTGTTTTTTTTATGACTGCTTTATTAGAATCTGGACAAACCTATTTACTGCCAGACAATCATTATAAATCTCGGCCATCATTGTTTTCATGTCCATAGTACTGAAGTCATTTAAACATGCTATTTATAAAGCTGTCATCTTCATTTGTATACAGTTTGACTATGCCAAATAAAGGACAATTATTAAAACTTAATAAATTTTTGAAAAAAGGAAGTTCCAACAACCAAAATAATGTCTGTTCTGAGCCCTGTAACACACAAAGCCTCAGGAACATTAATGAGTGTGATCAGTGAGTATTTAAGTGATACCTTGATATTTCACTTTGTAGTAGTTTAACTCCCTTTAGGGGGCAAAGGTGACTTCAGTATACAAATCTGAAAGAAATGCCTTTTTTTTTTTTTTGGTAAGACTATTAGTGAAGAAAGTCTAATATTCTGTCTGATAAGAATTTGTATAGAAAAGAGCTATAAAAAGATAAATAAGAAATGTATAAAATGATGCCATCTGAACTTCTTCAGTAGAAGACTGCACAAATTCATGATCTGAGCCAATTAAGACATCGAAATATAAAAGAGGTAACACCAGTCTGAGGTAAACACAAAGTTGAAAACTCCCGAGTACTTGAAAAAAGTTTAGTTACCTGCTGACATTGATACACATACACTTAAGCTAACTTCCTCTGTAAAAAAGAGATTTGTTGTAGTTAGATACAAAATGTGTAAACATAGTGTGCACTGATTAGTAAGTAAAAATAAAAACAATGTAGCTCAAAATTAAGTCAGCCCTTTTAAAAAGTATATATACAAATCACAAGAAGAAAGCCCCACTGTCTTTGGATCAGCTAAGGATTTCATTAGAAGAGGCATCAGCTTCTTCATTGGGATGCTGGTTACCAGACAGGAGTTCTGGAGGCAAGAGTTTAGAATGTCCATTCTCAGTAACTCGCTGGGTATAAAACAAGATATAAGCTTGGGCCTTGCATACTTCATCCATAGTGCACATGCTTAGCTTGGAATCATTGCAGTGTACCCAGAACCCTAGAGTGAAGCACAGAAATACATCTTAATGTTTACAAAGGAACTTTAGAAGTTTCTAGTATAAATGAAAACATGGATTTAAAGACAGTTTCAGTGAGAGTTAAGCTTTTTTCAAAGGGAAAATAATTGTCTAGACAATTTATTTCTTTTGAAATACAGCTTGGGCAGTATGTTACTCTGGAATTATCTCCCTTTATCTTAGAAGTAATTTGAAGTTACAGAATCTGACCGATTAGTTCACTTGACACTAGCTTCAATTCCTGGTATAATCTTACCAGTTCATGCTTTGCTGGTAATTATACTGTAAAGCAAATAGTGTACAACTCATGGTAGTGTTAAATTAATTGCCTTCATGGGTTATTTGGGGCCTTTTGTCCATACCTCCATTTTCTGAGGTTCATGGAGGCAGTAAGTAAAAGTGATTTTTTATATGTTAGAACTTGAACTCAAAGTTTGTTCCAAATATCTGTGATCCCCCAGTTCATTAGATGCTTTGTTCTTTAATGAAAGTAACTGAATTAAACCAGTAAAAACAGAGGACCTACTCTTGGAAGTGTGCCTTTAGCACTCTGACTTTTAATTACTGAGACCATCCTTACTATTTTATCCCTTCAGCTCTTATAAGTCAAAACTACCACAATCCTGCATAAAATATCCCATTTTCTGCACAAAACCCCCTGTTTTTTATGAACAATACTGCAGAAGCATTCTTCTTGAAAGAAAACAAGAGGTCAAGTGGCTTTGCTTAAGATTACTTAGTGGTCAGTTTAGAAAGCCTGAACTCGGGCTTCCAAAAGTCTAACCCAAGATAAAATACTTTTTCTCGTCTCTACCTCCTTCGGAATTATAACAGTAGGCAGTGTAGTGTCCTGAGCCAAATCCTTTCCCGTGGTGCATTACTACAGCAGATAAATCATAGATAAAACATTCTGGTCTGAGGGATTTCAGGGATTCCCTGCAGCAATAGGGCTCCATGTTTAAGATTTCTTCAAAGCCAACATGAACACCAATCTTCTCTCGGTTATTATGTCCTGACCACCTACGAACAAATCAGGGTAAAATTATCAACAAAATCAAGGGAAAATAACCACGTACTAGGTCCAAACTCATAATAATAGAAGGCCTCAGTGTAGAGTACAATCATATAAATAGTGTAAATAGAAAATCCTTTCAATGCTAAAGTTGGGCTATAAATAGAGGAATGTAGGCTTATTTACCAAACAGGTTACAGTCAGGTTGTAAAATTATTTGGCTTCTGTAGTTAGATGACAGTATATGAAGAAAATTAACTTTCAGAAAAATATGGCACTATGGCATTTTCCCCCTTTGAAAAGAGAGAAATTCAACACACCAAAGGGTTTTTAATTCTTTACTGTTTTGTCCATACTTTGAGGAGGATGTTCCAGAACCTAGAGTTTGTTCCTGGGAGACATAACCTGGACCTTTCTTCGCCAGGGGTGGAGAAAAAACAAAACAAAACAGGGCACCTCTAATTCCTCAGAACATTTTAGAGCTCTTCATACTAAAAAAATAGAAACTGTGACCCTTCCCTGTGTGTAAATCAGTATAACACCTGTTAGTGACAAAACTCAAATAATGTCTCTGTACCGTCAGTTTCTCAATCTGTTGGTCATGCTTCCCAGTACGGGGTCTATGCATGTAAAGCAATGTTTTCATCTTATGCATAGTATGAATTGGTGCTACAGGAGAAAAATAATGTAATATATGTTAGTTCTTTCAAGAGATTATAATCCAACTTGGGGTGGTATGGTGCAGAGACAAAAGAGAGACAGATGAAAATATAGTATTAAAGTATTGGGGCTTCCCTGGTGGTGCAGGGGTTAAGAATCTGCCTGCCAATGCACGGGACACAGGTTTGAGCCCTGGTCAGGGCAGATCCCACATGCTGCAGAGCAACTAAGCCCATGTGCCACAACTACTGAGCCTGCGCTCTAGAGCCTGCAAACCACAACTACTGAGCCCACGTGCCACAACTACTGAAGCCCGCGCATCTAGAGCCTGTGTTCCGCAACAAGAGAAGCCACCACAATGAGAAGCCCGCACACTGCAATGAAGAGTAGTCCCCTCTCGCCACAACTAGAGAAAGCCTGTGCGCAGCAACAAAGACCCAATGCAGCCAAAAATAAATAAATAAAATAAATTTTTTAAAAATGTATTAGAACATGAGGTTAAGACAGGAGGAGGTAGAGAAGGGAGAGGGGCATATAGACAGGTTTTGTGAAGGAAAAAAATGTGAAAATGCTTATTAGTATAATGTAAAATGTGGTATGGAACTAAAGGTGAGACTTGCAAATTATGTCATCTGCTGGACTAGAAGTCATATCCCAATCTTACCCTATTAAATGTATAAAAAAATCCTGTATCCAGTGTACCTTTAATCTTAGTAAAGATGGAAGACCAAGCATGGAAAATAATGGGACTTGCTTAACCTAAGTTCCTGTCATTCTCACTTTATCTCCCTTTTATTTTACCATAAAATTCAAACCTTAAATTATTTAATTATGCTAAAAAGTTATCTAATTAGAAAATATTCATTTCTGCCATTTGCAGCAACATGGATGGACCTAGAGATCATCATACTAAGTGAAGTCAGAGAAAGACAAATATCATGACATCACTTACATGTGGAATCTAAAAGATACAAATGAACTTATTTACAAAACAGAAACAGACTCACAGACTTTGAAAACAAATTTTTTGTTACCAAAGGGGAAAGATATGAGTGAGGGAGAAATTAGGAGGTTGGGATTAACCTATACACACCACTATATATAAAATAGATAATCAACAAGGACCTACTATATAGCACAGGGAACTCTACTCAATACTCTCTAATAACCTATGTGGGAAAAGAATCTGAAAATCAATAGATATATGTATATGTATAACTGAATCACTTTGCTGTACACCTAAAACTAGCACAACATTGTAAATCAACTATACTCCAATATAAAATAAAAATTAAAGAAAAAAATATTCATTTCCATCAATAGGTGGGTACCCATTTTTTTCTGCTGATAAAAATACAGTAAAATGATAAAGAACAAGATAACACTATACCCAAAATTCATAATGGTTTACTTCTGAGAGAGGGAATAGGACTAGGAGGCACACACATCGGAGCTTCTAAGGTATTAGAAATGTTGTTTCTTAATGCTTCTTAAAGGCTCTTGGGCGCCCCTCCCCAATCCCATTCTCCCTTTTATCTTATATACCCTATGTATTGTATACAGTGGTAAATACAATAGTACTTTTTGAATAGATGAAGAGAAAAGGAAAGAGATAAATGTGGTAATGGCTGCATAAAAATGGTCTCTGAATCAGAAATATGGCATGAAGCGTCAAAAATGTTTTGGGCAGAAGATGGAAGGGGGTCAAATAGGTTTAAATTAAGGTGAGCTTTAAATGGCAGATTAAAGAGTCAATTATGAAGAACAGGAGGTTCTTCAACAATTTATAGTAGTCAATTAAGTACCAATTAAGTACCAGAAATTTAAGTCCTTTCAATGCTGTCTTTATGGAATCTTATAAGTTCTCACCTCTCCATGCTACCTGGCCCTGAACAATATTCACCTCCTAACAATCTTCCTGTTTTCATTCCACTTGATTTTATACACCATGGCAGGTCTCACCAGACTTTTCACTAAACTTTTGTTATACACCCTTTCCTTCCTTCATACCTTTGTTCAGGTTGCTCTCAGGCTAAAGTGCTCCTCCTGTATACACCCCATTCATTCACTTAATATTTTGGGGCATCTACTATGTACTCAGTTCTAGGCTTTGGAATATAGGAATGAAAAAGACAAGATCCCTGTCATTACTGAGTTTCTGTTCGTGGGGAGAGAAATAATAAACTATTGCAGATAGTGGTTTTTGCCATGAAGCAAAAATAGGGTAGGTAACGGTGACACTGAAGGTTGGGTGGTGCTACTTTTAAATAGGATGGTCAGGGAAGTCCTCTAAAGAGATGAAATATGAAGTGAGATTTAAATTATACAAAGTCCTCTATGCCATTAGAGAGGCTTTGGGAATGTTTAGATTTTGCCTAACTCCCTCCTCCAAGGCGCTGATAAATCATTTTGTATATAGTTTGTGATACTTGGTATTTCTACTTCACCATTATTTCTGTGCACGCCTGATTATAATCTTGTTGAGAAAAGAATCCAACCTTACATTCCCCAAAGAATATGAAACAACATCTGGCATTAAAAAGCACTCACATGGTATCTGCTGACGGTACTTTTAACAGCTTAAATAAATAACTTAGGTCAATTATTTCCATTAACAGTGATTATCTCTGGGAAGTGGGACTGAGAGAAAGAGCTACTTTTAGTTTGGGCTTTTACATTACCTTCTGTAATGTTTGAATTTTTTTTTAACATGTATTCCTTTAATTTAAAAAAGAAAGAAACCGGCAACAACTAATATGTACAAGAAACATGATCTCAATAACAGCACATAAAGGAACTTCTCATTTCTTAAGAGAACAATAAACTCTCAAGTTAACATGGTTATTACAAGGTATGAATCCATATGCTTTGATTAACCAACAGATTTGCCAACTAATTTATCTAAATATATTTCTGAAAACTAAAGTTTTTTGTTTTTGTTTTTAACTGCTTGGAACTGAACTGCTATACCATTGTTCAAATATTTTCCAAGCATGAAGCAATTGGGTCAAATACTCTCAAGTTATAGATTTAAATTTTAAAAATTTTATACCTAAAATATGCTGAATACTCTCAAATCAAATACTCTCAAGTTATAGATTTAAATTTTAAAAATTTTATACCTAAAATATGCTGAATACTCTCAAATCAAATACTCTCAAGTTACAGATTTAAATTTTAAAAATTTTACACCTAAAATATGCTGAATATTAAACACTATAAGCAGAGACTTACAAGGAGAATGATACTAGCAGACCGAAATGCGAGGGGTCTGCTGATCAGCAATGCATTCTGCAAGGGAAGATAAGGAGAGTTACTGAACATGGTGTCTATGATTAGGGCTAGAGACAATGACAGAATTTTTTTCCCTTAAAAAAAAAAAAAACAGAAGTAGATAAGTCATCTAGCCAAGTATTAAAATTCATTCTACTACTAACCTGAATCGTTTGAGATGTAGTCTGAGAACCTGAGGTAGGTGGCAAATCATAAGCTGTTTCTGGGCTTCTGTGAGTACAACTGGTTTTGAGGAAAACCTTCTACGCTTTGCTGTGATATTAAAGACAGAATGAGATGCAAATTTAAGGATACAAGGAAAAGCTGAGTAAACTCAAAATAATTCAGACATGCATTATCAATTAAACATCTACTGCGTTACAGGCATTTTACTGTGTTAGAGATAAAGGCATGGCCTTGCCCTCAAGACACTTAGAATCATGTAAACACACAAAACTTATGAGTTAGTCAAGGTATACAGACATGTAGACAAATAAGCACAGTTGACTCTTGAACAACAAAGGCTTGGATTACATGGGTCCACTTACATGCAGATTATTATTTTTTTCAATACATGTACAGTTGGCCCTCTGCAGGTTTCGCATGCACAGATTCAACCATGGACCGAAATTTACATCCACAGTTGGTTGAATCCGCTGATGCGAAATCTGCAGATAGAGATGACCTACTATGGAACTTGAGCATTGGTAGATTTTGGTATAAAAGTGGGCGCTCCTGGAACCAATGCCCCATATATACTGTACATGATTTAATATAATCCTGAAAATAAGGCAACAGAATGATACTGTGCTATATTTTTAAATGGATTTGGCTACGCCAACTAACAGGAAAAGTTAAAACTCTCCCTAAACATACTTTAATATACTCTTACCAAAGTCTAATTAAAAAGTTTCATGGTCAGTTCATTTCTTGAGGCTAATCAGGATCCCCGGGGCATGGGACCTTCCTTCCAAGAACACCCATCCCTGCTTCCTGGGGATCCACCCCAGCACTGCCCAAGAAAGCAAGCCTTTACTAGCTCAGCATCTGAGGTCTCCCTCAGTATCTTGCTATTTTAGTAGCAAATCAAACAAGTGGAACTGAGGATTCTTTTTTGTTTACCCCCCTGCTTCTCTAGAGGTCCACCTATGGACCTTGTCCTGGCTGGGCCACTGGCTACCAAAATTTGCTCTTGATGTCCAGGAGCTATTCTTCAACTTGTACAACAACTGCGACTCCAGCCGTAGCAGCAGCTGCTTCTCATGTAGGCAGCAGAACCAGTCCACCATGAGGTTGTCCTCTAACCCATCTCCTCTTGCTACCAGAAGCCTTTCCTCCAGGTCTATGCCCCTGAGATCCAGGTATTGGGCTGCTGCTGAATGTCAAAGACCTACCTTTGGACTGTCATCCAGAAATATATGGTCCAAGTGTAGCTAGACAAATGATGTTAACTCCTTGAATTATAATTTTAAACATTCGCCGTTATGTATTAAATTAAAGCAGCTCTTTTAGGCCCTTATTTGGTGGACCCAGGAGACACACACAAACATGTTATAAAGCCATATTCTGCATTTATTCATAGCTTTCTACTCCCAGATTTGGTGATGAAAGCATCTAGGACCATATTCACATTTATGTCTAAGAAAAAAAATACGTCGCTATACAAATTTGATAAAGGTTTATTTTCTTTTAACCTTATAAATCTTAGGCTCCTATAAATTAACAGATTTTATATTAGGCAGCACACCGAAAACAATGTTAGTATAAGTTGTTCTAGAATACTATCAACTGATGTGCCATTTTTTCAATGCTGGAACAGCCAATGTTTCTTTTATATTACCTTAGAAGTTTAGTATCTAAAGCCCTAGAATCATTTTTTCAGACATGGAGCTTAAGGAGAATATCTGCAAATATAAAGTATAAACACTAAAATGCCATGTACACATCGACAGAGATAAAGAAACTGGATAAAGACACAGAAGATCCGATGTGGTTTCGTATACCGTTGCCTGGAGGATGATACTTCTTTAATTGAAATGGCTATTTCATCCCACAGTGCTGGGTTCCTATGCTCGCCTCTATCAGAGAGCTTATCATAGTAGATCTTAATTGTGTTTCCTCCATTAGGTATGTGAGCATCTTGAAAGTGTCTTACCTCTATCCACAGCAACTAGAACAATTACTAATATAGAAGAGACAGTCAGTAGATGGTTTTTGAATAAATTTTTGTTTTTATGAAGCCAAAGTCCATAGCAGCAGTCCAGCTATATGTCTTATTTCCTATTATATAAGTATGCAGACACATACACACACACACACACACACAATTATCTATATATCAATGTTTTGATATGTAGCAAAAAGACTCATAAAGCAAACATTTCATTCAGTACTAAATAACATGGTTACCTTTTACTATTCCCCTTTGCTACTTTATTCTGCCCTCACATATTAAATTTAAATTTTATGAATCCTTTCTATAATTTACTACAGGATCAAAAAATCTTTAATGTCATCAATAAGGCAAAACAAACACATAGTTCACAAATGCCAATTAAAAAGTAGAACTATCCAGCCAAGTTTCTTTTGATAAACTAACAGTTTATTTCTATACCTGCTACTAAAGGAATTTATTCCAGCTTCCTTCATTTGTGTTTCTCTTTGCTAACCTTAGAAAAGCAAAGAGAATATACAGCTTCTACTTACAATTGCACTGGTCACATACGTAGATTTTTCCTTCTAAAGCTTCGGTTTCTGTGAATTTGGCCAACATTTCAGTAACCAGACATGGCTGGGAAACAATATCTCTTCCACTGCATTGGTATCTTTCTGGAAATTCCAGTGACAAGTCCCAGAAAGGTTCTATGGTGTTTGATTTGTTGTCACATGCAAGACATGTAACCTGCAAATAAAAATATTAGTTTCTCAGATTACAGTCCTTCTGTCAAAATATTTATTCCTTTCACTAGAAGTCACTGCCAGTAAATTAGCTCTTCTTCTCAAGATGCACTATCAGAATTCTGAATAATCTGTTTTATATTATTTTCAGGGAATAATTTTTTTCTTCCGTAAACCCATTATGCATTGATGGGCTTTAACTACTAGGCATTCGAAAAGCTCCAAGGGCATTAGTCAAGTCTGAATTTAGTAGAAAACCAAACCATTGACTCAGTTATATACCCATTGTGTGTATATATATGTGTGTGTGTCTATACATATATTATATATATGATATATATTTATATGCATTTAATTTAATGTGTTTAGATTGTTAGACTTGAGGTTGTTTGCCCTTTTTCCTTCCTCATCTTTCACTGATTGATTTTCTCTCCCCAAATCCCTATAACCTCTTAACCATGGTACAAGTAAAATACTACTAGTATATTTTTATATACAGATTTTAAAATATAGTATATTTTTATATACGGTATATTTAGTATATATTTTGAAGCCCTACCAACTGATAATTTCAAAGGATAGTACATATAACATAAATATACATATAATATAAATATATAATATATATATATTTATATATAATATAAATAAATAATATAAATATATATAAATATATATTTATATATAATATAAATACTTAAAGCAAACATCACTACATTAAAATCCTCATCAAAATACAGGAACCACACAGAATATGAAGCCTTTCTAACAACTTATATAGGAAACAGAGTAACTGGAAAAGGAAAGAATAATTTCAGTAAAGCATTCAGCAGGCTT